GACTCACAGAGTAATTACAAACTTTCGACCAGTGGCGTACATGAATGCAGCCGCAACTCCTACATCTGTAAATGTTGATCAATGAATCGCGCCGAGTACTTCGTCAATTAGCGCGGAGTAATTGACGTTTTCCCAACGTTTAAATAAATCTCCGTTGAAACATAAATAACTGATAAGCCCTTAACCAAGACGGTATAATTCCGACGAAAATATTTCGTGTCGCCCACTTCGAGCTAGTCATTAAAGTAGCGACAAAGTATCCACGAAAAATATTCTCTTTCCCGCGGCAGCCTCATTAAACACGAGGCGTCCCAAGTGTCCGCGACCAGTATCAAGCTTCAAACGTCAAACGCGGAAAAAGGAAGGAACTGTTTGAATCACAAGCAACGTTCACGCAGGAAACGGAGTCATGCGAAATGTTCTTTGTCCGGTATCCGTTGTCTCTAACGAAGAAATACTATCCAAGGTAACCGGAGTGGGCAGCTTACGCAAAAGCGCTCTTAGGAGTACACCTGTGTGTGTTTGTGTGTGCGTGTGTGTCAGGCGTAAGAACGTCGAACCGGAAACGGGGGGAGAAAGACGGAAAAACAATGTAATTAGAATGCGACAAACGGCGGGGACGTCTACGGTTATCAATTCCCGCGTGCCTCGACGCGCGCGATTCATCGCGGCGGATGAAAGCAATATCCCTCGGAATCGATTTCTTGGCTGTCGCCGGCCGAGCGCGTTCTGGGCTTCTCGCGACAGTGATAGACTATCGCGTACCGGATCGAAAGACGGAGACATTTTCGCCGTCCCCTCTGCCTCCGCCATCACAGCCAGCTGGCCGGCAGGCCGATCGACGACGTGACTGTCGCCTCTGCCATCGTGATTCGCAATTATCGAATCCAATTTGTCCGTCAGAAAGGCGAGAGAGGGTGGCCCGAACGGGCGAACCGGGGGGAAGACCGGCGCAGCGAGAAAACGTAGAAAAAGGGTGAGCGCGGCCGATCGAAGATAGAGAAAATGACGAGGCGGACGACGTCGAAATGGATAGAGAAAGAGACCGCCACCCCGGAATTAACTCCCGCGCACCTTGCACGGTAATTACTTCGACGTCCGATCGATCTCGCGATCTCGAACGGTCGCCCGACTGCGGAATCAACCGGGCGGCGCGATAATCGCGGGCGGTCAGGTGTTTGTCCCGGTTTCGAGGCGAATTACCGACTTCCTGAACGGTCGAGTCGGCGATACGATGTAGAAATGGAGAATCGTGTCTTTGGGATCTTCTTGAGATTGTGTTTGATACTGCAACCTTTAGTTTCTTCAAATTGTCTGTAGTATAACGGAATATAAGACGTTTGCGTAGAGAAACAGATAGCTAAACTGAGAAATTCTAAAGTTAAAGACTTCGGAAGTCGTTGGAAAGCTTTAAAGTTCCTTCCGTATGCGCTTGAAAATCGATATTCCATTATCACGATAAATCCAGCCATCGAAATCATTAAGAGCAAACGGAGGACAATGAATTCGAACTAGTCGAACGAATCACCCGATACATTACGCCCGCTAACGAATGCGTTCGACTGACGGATCGCCCGAGCCCGTTCCCCCGTTCTCATATCAATATTTTCTCGAAGTCGGTCTCGAATCGAGGCAGTTCGAGGGAATCTCCTCGCCGAGCGATTCACCGGGAGCAATTTGTCCGCGGTTGAAAATCGTGAACGGGGGTGTCTGTCTTCGGGCCGCCGCGAAATCCCTTCCAGTCCCGTGAACCTCGCCACTTACGTCGATCTCACGTCGATTCGACGCTATGGAAACGCTTAATAATCGGCTGACGAGCGCCGCCGGGAGGAAGAGGGCGCTCGGAAGCCACTGCGGAACAAGGAAATTTCATGGGGAATGGCAGAGGGCTGGCGAACAGAGAACTATCTAATCGGATGCGCAAGTTCCGTCTTCGCTGCAGGACGGTCTTGTTGTTACGAAGTTCCGCGGGCAAGTGTCCGGCGATGGATGTTCAGGGTTACGCTTCCATTTAGGGCCACGGTCTTTACGGGAAAGGGAAACATTACCGGGCACTGAAATCAAACCGCATTTCGAGGGATGGCCGTGGAATCCGAATTGCTCCAAGCAACTGTATACCATTATTCGATGCTGGATATTTGTTGGAAGACGCATTGAAGATGCCTCGGTGCTTTTAAATCACTCCGAACGCTTCGTAACGTCTGTCAATTAATTTACGAGGGTGGAATTGAAATTTAAAGCGATAGGGGGGAAGAATTTATTAAAGAGTACGTCGCAACTTCTTCGTCGCAAGAAAGCTATTCGTTTAGAGACATAGATTATCGCGAATGTTTCAGTTTTATAGGATACTCGCGTCCGACTATGTACATTCTTTTCTACTTAACAGAAGCAAGAGTCTTCTTATGATTAAAGGTTCTACTTCCTCCGATAAAGGCGATGGAATCTTCGTCGATCCGATAAAAATTACAAGGGGGAAGATTGACAGAATTCTGTCTGACCAGACACGCCTTCCACCACTTAATTCCAGCAAGACATTTCCCAGAACGCCGGGCTTCTCGGCGAAAAGGAAAGTGTCCCAGCTGTCGGAACGATTCAACGCAGTGCCGTGAAAATTCCGAGCCCTCCGCGCCGCGGCCGAACACAGATAACCGGACTGCATTACACCGCGATCTATGCATACGGCCGGTAAACCGCGTACGTCCGGCGCGGATCAACCGTGGTTAAAACTGTCCGCGCAAAAGGATCCATTTAAAGCTACGAACGCGGACACGCGCGGCGAATTTCTGCCAGCGGCCCCGACCGACGCCGGAAGTATACCGGCCGCTTAATGGACAGCCCAAAGCCACGGTGAATTTTTTCAATTAATATCACCCGGGATTAGAGCGAATAAACGTTGTGTCTGCATCGGAATGTTTGCTCGAATCGAGAACGGAACGATTGAAACGAAAACCAACAGCGAGCGCGGAAAAAGGGGGAAATATCCGGGCGAAAAAAGAGCGGGACAGAAGGGAGGAAAGGAATGAGAGGGAAGAGTAAACGTGAGCGGGTTCGTTTCTGCGGCGTTCGTGTTGTCTTTGACCGCAATTGCCGGTCGCGCAACGGTAATTTCCACTGCGTGCTCACGGAATTGCCGTCGGCTCGTTACGTGCACGGGATATCACGTTGTCTTTATCGCGACGCGAGGCGCCGCGTCGTTCCCTCGCCGTTCCCGTGCGCCAGACCGCTGACGGAGAAACAATTTCTGCGACATTAGAACCTCGTCTAAATTAGCGCCGGCGGAGGGACACGCCGCGCAACTTCGAACGCCGAGTCTCTATCGCTTCCATACGGCTCGCCCCGCTGGAAGTAATCCGACGTTTCGATCCCGTCGTCGGATAACTCGGCAACAAGTAAATCGCTCCATCGACGCGGATAAACGAGCTTAATTGCGAGCCCGCGATCTCCGAGTCCCGTTGTTCCAACGTCGACGCGGCTCGGACATGAAAACCTACTTCGAGATACCGTCGCGCGGCGCCCGTGAAAATGCCGCTGATTATCGGCCCTTGGGATCGTTCAGCGAAGTCCCTCAAATATTCATGATCCTTTATGCATTAATGACGATCCGATGAGAGAGCTTCGCGCGATGGATCGCGTGCGATCTACCCTTCCGACGGAACTTTCGAGCTTCGTCGGGAACAAGGGGAATGAAATACGCGGCTCGGTGTTTCACTATCGCCCTTCCAGTATTTACCTTTAGGCGTTAACGTGTAATTTTTTAGGATCAGTCGATAGTACCGTGCGAAGAGCAACCTACTTAAAAAGACGAGTTAGCTATCGAGCGAACGAAATATAAGTCTTGCTTTCGGTTCTGGCAGATTAATAAGAAATTTATAGGAAAGCGCTAGATACTCAGAAATAAAACGAAACTGAAAGATGAACCGCTCCTCGATATAGCCTCGCGCCAAGTCCCAAACAGCCAACTCCGAGATAACACTATCCACGGGTATCGTCCGTCCACCTCGAGCATCCAGTATATCCCTGTATCCCGTAAGTGCCTCCGTTCCCCGCACATTCGTCTGCCACCCCCCATTGGACATTCATTTTTATCGTTCACGCTCGGGCGACGTTATTCGCCCGACGCGCAGCAACAGATGCGATCTCCTCGGCAGCGTTCCGCGAGGTTGCGCTCCGCCGGAATTGTCCAGGCTTATCCCGAATATTTACCGTCCGCCCCTGATTATACCGGCCTTGTCACGATGCGGTATAACACGTGGACCACGTACCAACGACACGTCCCACGGAACGTGCCGCGCGTTTCCTAACAAATGATCTTGGCCCGTCAAACGCACAGCCGGGGGGAGAAGAAGATGAGCGAGAGGGTGAGTCAGGTGGGTCGCTTAACGGGCTGCCAGATAAAAAATGACGGCTCGTCCAGGCTATTATTGCTCGGCGCGCAAAGACACACGTCGTTAGGTGTCGGCGATGGCGGCGAGAGGAAGATGGCGCGCGCGGAACGTTTACGGCTGGGACCGGGGAGGCTGACCGGGGCAACGATGGCCGTCCGTCCGGCGGCCATATATTCCTGCGTATCGTGCCGTTGCCCGGGAATTAGGAGAAAGATTGATCGCACCTATTTGCCGAAACCAAATTACAGTTCTGTTCAGCGGCCACCCTCTATCTTAGGAGCCGTTCTCGTTCACGGGGGCCTTCGACTTATTTACGAGCGGAGCTATAAATAATTAGCCGGCCTTTAATAACGTCCGCGCCGGCGCGGCGATCTATCGATGTATCGATCGGCTTCGACGGATTATTATTTATTTCCGGGCCGAATAAAAGGGATAAACGGATGATGCACGGCCCCGGGGATGCTGCCGCTGGGCTAGGGGAGGGCACGGGAGAGCGGAAAATTGTTTTCGATGATGTACGGGGGGTCTGCGCGCGGTCGGTTCATGAGGCGTAATGAAATTTCCGCGGCGGGATTTCATACGGTCTCGAGGAACCCGGGTAAATGAAACACTTACGCTGAACGGTACCAGGGAGTTCTTCACAGACGGGACCATCCACTGCTGGAACAACGACATGACCACTTGGCAGCCGACCACAACCTCCAGGATGCGTTTAATCAAGAATCTGCGGAAAGGAAACAAGAGTTGTTGGTGTTGCGCTTGGAAATTAATAGTCTCCGGGATCTTTCGATAGATTTTCTTCTAAATACTATTAGTAGTTTTAACGTTGAGAGCGAAATATCATTGTAATACGGAGAGATTATTCAAATAATTGCGAGATGAGAATTAGAGCTTCGTCTACGAATTTTTCAGAGAAATTCAACGTTACACGGTAGCCTTGCTTTAAAAGAAGGATCACCGAGGAACTTGAATTTTCTTCGTCTCCTAGGCTTCATTGAAATGGACATTTGTAATATTCCAGGATTCAGCCGGTTACACAGTAGAATTCATGGACCATGTCTGAATTTCGTCTACCAGGATATCAGCAGTTCTATACATTCGCCAGGACATTGCGTTCCGTTAATAAAATTTGCTAAAAGTTCGTCGAGGCGGAATTGCTTAGACAGCTCCGTTTCGAGAGCTGCGTGTAAAGTCTACTTCAGAAATTCGTGTGTTCGACCGTGTATTCATGAACGAAAATCATGAGAAAGGGTCTGCAGCCGAATATCGCATTACAGCGTGCACTCCGGTGTTCCGAAGGAGCCGGTTTCGACAACGAACTTCGCCCGGAATAAATGAAAACAAACAAAGTCTAATCTTCTTAATTGGATCCACTTAAATGTCCAGCGAGAATTTTTCACGAGAAACTTAAGAGCGCTCGTAAAAGTTCCGTCTCTTCCGGTAAAACTGTCGATGCGCTTAAACTGGTAAGTCGATGGATAATAAAACGTCTCGCGAACAGAGCCGAAGTAATCATCAACGTTGAACATTAATTCCGAAAACTGCTGAAACAAACAACCGGGAAACCACCGGCGGAAACGTTCGCCGCGTTTAAACAATTCGAAAGAGAATTCCGCGTCCGTGGCGTTCCGTAATTTGGCAAATTGAAGCACCGATATTTCACGAGCAACGCTCCGTGTTGTCGCTGTTGAAAAATCACAGCGCGGGGACCGGTTATTTTTTATGAAAAACTACGGGAGAGGGGAAATGTCCGTAAACACGTCTTCGGTGGAGCGAGCGAGCGAGCGAGAGGGATAGAGCGAA